GGCAGCAACACGGTCGTGGAGGCCAAAGGCCGGCGCGTCCGCGGGCGCCTCTACCCCTGGGGCATTGTGGAAGGTAACGCTGGGCTGTGTCCCTGGTGTCCCACTGGCCTTTCGGGGACAGGGACATTGCGTGCCCCATCTCCATGCTGCTCAGCCCCCATCTTCATGCTGCTCAGCCCCTGGGAGTTTGGGGGGGCCGAGGGGGTCTGGCTGTGGCCCCCTGACCTTGGGCTCCCCCGCAGTGGAGAACCCATCCCACTGTGACTTCGTGAAGCTGCGGACGATGCTGGTGAGGACCCACATGCAGGACCTCAAGGACGTGACGCGGGAAACCCACTACGAGAACTACCGCACGCAGTGCATCCAGAGCATGACCCGCATGGTGGTGAAGGAGAGGAACCGCAAGTACGGGGCCGAGAGTGGGGTACCAGGCTGGGGGAAGGTGGGGGAGGCATCTTTTCTCTTTAGGGTGACCCCAGCCCGTTGTGAGTGGTGATCTTGGGGGGTTGGGACTGTGTGTGGGTCCATGCTGGGCAGCATGATGGGCTGGGCAAGGAAGCCTCGGCAGTGTAGTGGGGGGCCCTGAGGTGGTGGGGGGAGGGCCCTTCCCATGCTGTTGGGCTGGGGCTGGCTGGGGGGGATGCTCCGGCAGCAAGGGGGCCCCTGCATAGCCCTGGGGCTGGCTGGGGGGCGATGCTCAGGCGGCGAGGGGGACTCTGTGTCCCTGTGGACTCCGGGGCCAGAGCAGGACCCAAGCAAGCAGCCAGTGCTGGGGGTCTGCTGCTGGTACCAGCCAGATTCATGGCACTCACATCCCCTTTGGCCACTCCAAGATGCTGGGGGGAGTGCCCCACAGCAGGGTCCATGGCAGGACCCTCCAGCCAGGGGGCTGGTGGTGGCTATAGGCACCTCTAAGCTGGTCTCTCCATACGTGCGGCCGGAGAAGGCGGCATCCCTCCACGCTGAGGCTGTGCTGTGCCGACTGCTCCACTGACTGAGCCAGGATCTGGCCGGGGCCGTGCTTGGCCCCCGCCGTCCTCCTCCCCCTGCCCATCTGCCTGCCCCCTATATAAAGTATTTTCTGGTATCCAACCCTGTCTCGGTCCTTCTGTGCCCGCACAAGGGCTGGGCAGCTGCTCTGGAGGGGAGCCGGCCCCATAGCCACCCACCCATTGCCCACACAGGTTGCCCTTGGGGTGCTGGCACCGCTGGTGGTGCCGGGAGGATGCCGTGTGCCCGCAGTGTCACCCTGGCTCACCCAGGCAAGGTGGGGTTGGGGGGACTTGTCACCGTGTGGTGGCACCTGGCTTTTCCCAGCCAAAGGCTGCCCAAGGGAAGGGCTACAGGGCAGGCACCCCCCCATCGTACTTCCCTCCTGGGGCTGTGATTTTGAGGTGTGGGAGGCAGCAGTAGGCAGTCTTTCCTGGGCTGGAGAAAGCTGCTCACCCTGTTGCTGGTGCCCAGCTCAAGCCTTGTCTTGCTGCCAGGGATGGAAGGAGCCCAATGCGCTCCCCCCTGGGTGCCCCCATGGCGAGGAGCCCTGACAATGGGCAGAGACTTCCAAAGCAGCTCAAAATATGGCCAAAACCCATCCCCTGCCGTGCCACGCTGGCACAGCCCCCCGGCACAACAGGGCCCTGCTGGCACAGCCGCCTGTGCAACATCCGCCAGGTCCATTGCCCTGTTGTGTGTGGAGGGGCTGCACCAGCGGTGGCACGTGGTAGTGGCACGTGGCGGCATGCGTGACCCTTGTCAGTCCCAGTGGCCATGTCCCAGCCATGTTGTCACCCGCTGGGGTAGCACGTGGCATCTGCAGGGACCCGGCCGGGAGAGCAGGTCCCTCCCCATGGCTGTTGGCATCGGAGAAGCCATCGATTCGGCTGTGCCGTGGTCCTGCGCGGTGGGGTGGCCCCAGGGGGGGACACCTGCAGCTCTCTCCAGCAGGGGTGGGCTTGGACGGGAGCTGATGCTTGGGAAAAGGGGTGCGGAGCATCCCTGGGGCTGGCTGGGCAGTGGGGAGCCAGGAGTGCCTGGGGAACCCGTCCTGCAGCGGGGCTGCGGCTGTGGGAGAGAAGGGAGAGACCGAGTTTAAGATGTTTTAAAGCAGCAGAGAAAATACTGGGTGAGGAGAGCCTGATCCCAGCTTGAAGCACCCAGTGGGATGCTTTCCAAAATAGGAGAGTGTGGAGAAAGCCGGGCAGGGCTCTGTGCCCTCGGGGGTCCCCGGCACCCCTTGCTGTGGCAGTGCCTCTCTGCTTCCCCCCCACAGAATGTTGTGTGGCAGGTTGGGGGTGCTGAGGTCTGGGGGGGATGCCTGGGGCTGCTCATATCCCCCCCCCCACCCGGAAAAAGGGTGTGAGGCTGGGGGCTCAGGGTCCATGCTGGTGGGTGCTGGGTACCTGTGAGGTTTGGGGTCTCCGGGACTGCGTCCTCACCCCCTCTCTCTGCCCGCAGCAAGCTGACACGGGAGAGTGGAACGGACTTCCCCATCCCCGTCATTCCCCCAGTGCCGGACGCGGAGACGGAGAAGCTCATCCGGGAGAAGGACGAGGAGGTGAGTGTGGGGGAGTGCCGAGCCCCCCGATCATCCCCCCCACCCCAGGGATGGAGCAGCAGCGAGGGGCCACCCTTCCTGTGGCATTGGCAGCTGCTGCTCCTCAGGCCCGGGGCAAGAGCTGTTGGGGGGCCACCAGAGTATTTCCCCCACCTCCTCCAGCCCACAGCTCGGGGTGATCCCAACCTGCTTGGGGTGCTTGACCCAAACACGTTTACAAGGGAGCTGGTGTGGCTGGGGGGTGCTGGCACCCCCCCATGATCCCTGCTCTGCTCCCTTCCAGCTGCGGCGGATGCAGGAGATGCTCCAGAAGATCCAGAAGCAGATGAAGGACTCACACTAGCCCCCTCCTCTTCCTCTTCCCCCCCCTCCCCAGATCAGAAATGTTTACATCACGCTCCATCCTGCCCCAGCCCTGCTGCGAGCTCAGTACCAACACCGCACCTGCCACCTTAAGCTGCTGCGGTATCGCCTTATCCAACTGGCCAGCGCCCATCCCATGGGGACAGCGAGGGGACAGGGCACCCAGCCTGGGGGTCCCCTGTCCTGGCCAGATTGCTGACCCCTTCCCAAGGCTGGGGACAGCTTTGTCCCCCGAGCTTTGGCTTTCCCTGTTTCCCCCACAGCTCTGGGGAGGGCCACCGGCCAGCCTGCTCCCTGCATCGTGTCCCTTGTCCCCGTGTCCTCTCAGGCTGCCTGCTTACAGCCTTTATGCTCAGCTTGGCCCTGGCTTAAGGGAAGAGGAAAGGGGGGGGCTGGTCTCAGCCCCCCAAGCCCCCAGCTGCCCTGCTGTGGGGGACAAGTTTGGGTGGCACAAAAGCAGCTCCTGGGGATGGAGGGTATGCGGGCAGCCACCACCCTGGCCAGGGGGGCAGCCAGCACTCAGCCCCATGGCTGCCACCATGCCAGCACCAGCGTGAGGAGGGACTGAAGCTCGGTGGTGTCCAGCCCTGTGTCCTCAGCAGGGACCCTGTCCCCACCCAGCGTTGCTCTGTGGGAGCACCCCATGTCCCTGGGTGGTGGGGAGAGTGGTGGCACGGGGAGCACTGGGGAATCAGTCCCTGGAGAAAGTCCCTTGAACCCCAAATCTACTGGGGCCCCAGCC